CGAGGTCCCTTACAGCCCTAATGTCTATGAAATCTATGAGATAAAAGTGCCAAAAACCCCTGCTGGAATGCCCAATCTTTACAGACACTGCAGAGCTGGGTCAAATTAAAGGACTGCTTCTTCTGGTAAAGCCTGGTTGGTTTGTCTTTTTTCACATCTGTCAGCAGCCTCAATGTAACAGAATTAGTACCATTTAGATAAAAGATTGTGCTGCAAGAGCACTTCAACCTGCTTGTGGGACTGAAGGAAATATTCCTTCTGTGTATTCTTTTACTATCAAAGACTAACTATACAAACTTGTTGAATACACTGGATAATAAACCCATGCAATTTGTTTTCTTTGGCGTATTAGATGTTAGTGACCTCACTTGATTCCTGAAGTTAGCACAAGCACATTATGTGACGCATCAAATGAGCAAATAGCATCACAATTTTTTCCTTTCAAGGTTAATATGAGTCAAATGAAGAATGCTCTTCAGACTACAATGACATGTTTAAAAACAAGCCAACCACTCATTTATGCAGAAGTGAACACTCCACTCTAGGGTCTTCTCCTAGTCAACATAATATGGACCAATGTTTATTTGTAGAGAACAGGAAAGGTAATTGAACAGTTGCTGCATTGGCTTGTATTACAAATGGCAGAGGGAAAGTCAGCATTGGCACAGAGAAGTTGGAAAAGAAAAACTTAGGTACCATCTGTGCATGATTCCCACTCTTGAATCTCTGGTCTGGAGTCTGAGCCAGGTAGGGTCTAATCTACTGTGAATTTGGGGCCTCAATTCAAGTGTGCATCCTGCCCTTATATTTTAAAGAGACAAAAAACTTGTTTAGCTCTACCCTGTGATTGCTGCATGGTCTCTTACAACACCCTCCTTACTCCTCAGCAGCGAGAGTTTTGAATATACTATTTAACTTCCTTACAAGTGTGGGTACCAAATGAATGGGAAGATAGACATATAAAAGATGTTGCCTTCAGTCCAGCAGAAATGGTTAAAAAATATAGTTTCATTTCTGTTCTCTTCTGTGCTTGCTTTGATGGCTTGTTTGGATGCAATAGATTTCATGACCTAGTGGTGCTACTTGTGAAATAGTACACTAGCTACTAGAGTTGTGCGAACTAGGCTGTATTCGATTTGGATTTGGCCTGAATTGGCAACAGTGATTCAATTAGTTGATTCAGAGCACTGTCCCGATTTCGATTCGGCCGAATCTGAATCTGAAAATTCAATGCCAATTCAGAGAATCGGTGATTTGGCCATAGACACAGCTTTA